GGGGCGTCGTTCCCGGCGGGATGAGCCGGGATGCGGGGCGTTGTTCCCGGCGGGATGAGCCGGGATGCGGGGCGTCGTTCCCGGCGGGCTCATCCCGGCTCCGGCCGTGGCTCCCGTGCCGGCAGGGCCACACGGACGAGCTGTGGGGCTTGGCCACGCATCCGTCGCGGAGCCTCTTCCTGACGTGCGGCCACGACCGGCAGCTCTGCGTGTGGGACAGCCGGGAGCGCGCGCTGGCCTGGAGCATCCCGCTGGAGGTGCGGGAATGGGGCGGGAATGGGGCGGGAACGGCGCGGGAACGGGGCGCGAACGGCGCGGGAATGGCGCGGGAACGGGGCGGGAATGGGATGGGGATGGAGCGGGGATGGGGATGGAGCGGCTGGGGAGCCGGCGGCACCCCAGCACCGCCCGGGGCGGGAATGGGGCGGGAATGGGGATGGAGCGGCTGGGGACTTGGTGGTCCCCCCCAGCACCGCGCGGGGTAGGAACGGCACGGGAACGGCGCGGGAATGGGATGGGGATGGAGCGGGGATGGGGATGGAGCGGCTGGGGAGCCGGCGGCACCCCCAGCACCGCGCGGGGCGGGAATGGGACCGGGACGGAGCGTGGATGGAGAGGGGCCGGGGATGGAGAGGGGATGGGGACAGAGAGGGGATGGGACAGAGCGGCTGGCAGGGCCACGGGACCCCTGGCAGTGTTCCCCAGCCCAGACCCCACGCATCGGGAATAGGACGGGGACGGAGAGGGGACAGGGCGTCACAGGCACCGTCATGGGCACCATCACGGGCACCAGGGACCACACAGGCACTAGGGTCAACGTGGGCATCATGCCTGGGAAGGTGCAGGGATGGGGACCGGGATGGGGGTAGGACTGGGCATCATGGGCATCATGGACGTTGTGGCCATCGTGGGTGTCATGGACACCATGGGTGTCATGGACATCATGGACAATCATGGACATCATGGGTGTCATGGACATCATGGACAATCATGGACACCATGGGTGTCATGGGCATCATGGGTGTCATGGGCATCATGGACACCATGGGCATCATGGGCATCATGGACATCATGGACGTCGTGGGCATCATGGATATCTTGGGTGTCATGGACACCATGGGTGTCATGGACATCATGGACAATCATGGGCATCATCGGTGTCATGGACATCATGGATGTCATGGGTGTCATGTACATCATGGACACCATGGGTGTCATGGACATCATGGACACCATGGGCGTCATGGATGTCATGGGCATCATGGACACCATGGGTGTCATGGACATCATGGACACCATGGGCGTCATGGATGTCATGGGCATCATGGGCACCATGGGTGTCATGGGCATCATGGGTGTCATGGACATCATGGACGCCATGGGTGTCATGGACATCATGGACACCATGGGCGTGATGGGTGTCATGGACATCACAAACTTCATGTCTGGGCGGATTTGAGGATGAGGCCGGGGATGGGGACAGGCCAGGCCAGGCCAGGCCGGGCGGTCACTCACTCGCGCAGCTCGTCGATGGTTTTCTGCTTCTCGTTGATCTCGTCGCGGAGCCGGGCGAGCTGCTTGTGCTGGGCCTCGCGGTGGCTCTCCAGCTGCAGCTCCAGCGCCTTCTGCGGGCACCAAGGGCTCGGCGTGCCACCCCGTGTCCCCCGTGTCCCCCCATGTCCCCCTGTGCCCCGGCATCGCTCTCCTGGGGCTCGTCCTGCTCCCGCTCCTTCCTGGCCACCCCGTGAGCCGTCTCTGTGGGGCAGAGCCGGGGTGGGCAGGGCCAGGCCGGGGCCCCGTCCCCGCGCGCCCCGCGCGCCCCGCGCGCCCCGCGCACCCTGCGCCTGCAGCCGGGCCAGCTCCTCGCTCAGCGCGTCGTAGGACTCCTCCAGGTGCCGCTTCTTGAGCTCCACGTTCTGCATGTACTCGGTGAGCGAGCGGATCTTGGCCTCGTGCTGCGGGCACACCAGCGGCCTCAGCCGCGGCCGCCGGGCACCGCCACCACGGCCACCCACGCTGCCCAAGGGCCGCCACCACCACCATGGCCATCCAGAGTAGTCAATGGTCCCCCATCCCACGTCAAGGACCACCAGAGTCACCACCATGGCCACCCATAGTGGTCAGGGGCCACCATGGTCCCTCATCCAAGGTCAAGAGCCAGCTCTACTGTGATAATCCAGACTAGTCAAGGGCCACCATGGTCCCCCATCCCAGGTCAAGGACCACCAGAGTCACCATCATGGCCACCCACAGTGGTCAAGGCCCACCATGGTTCCCCATCCAAGGTCAAGGACCACCAGAGTCACCACCACGGCCACTCATGCTGGTCAAAGGCCACCACCACTACCATGGTCATCCACACTAGTCAAGGGCCATTATGGTCCCCCATCTCAGGTCAAGGGCCACAATAGTCACCACCATGGCCACCCACAGTGGTCAAGGGCCATCATGGTCTCTCATCCATGGTCAAGAATCAACTCTACTGTGATCATCCAGGCTAGTCAAGGGCCACCATGGTCCCCCATCCCAGGTCAAGGACAACCTCTACCATGACCATCCAGACTAGTCAAAGGCCACCATGGTCCCTCATCCAAGGTCAAGGGCCCCCAGAGTCACCACCATGGCCACTCATGCTGGTCAAAGGCCACCACCACTACCATGGTCATCCACACTAGTCAAGGCCCACCATGGTCCCCCATCCAAGGTCAAGAGCCATCATTACTGTGATCATCCAGACTAGTCAAAGGCCACCATGATCCCCTATCCAAGGTCAAGGGCCCCCAGAGTCACCCCTATGGCTACCCATAGTGGTCAGGGGCCACCGTGGTCTCTTATCCAAGGTCAAGAGCCAGCTCTACTGTGATAATCCAGACTAGTCAAGGGCCACCATGGTCCCCCATCCCAGGTCAAGGACAACCTCTTCCATGACCATCCAGACTAGTCAAAGGCCACCATGGTCCCTCATCCCAGGTCAAGGGCCCCCAGAGTCACCACCATGGCCACCCACAGTGGTCAAGGGCCACCATGGTCCCCCATCCCATGTCAAGGGCCACCACCACCAGGGGCCACCAAGTCCAGGACCACCAAGTCTGTTCTATGGCTCTCAGGGCCTGTCCAAGTGCTGTGTCCCCCCCATAGGTGTCCCCCCACCCCAGGCCCTGCGCACACCCCACCTGGGAGATGAGGAGCTGGCAGGACGAGAGCTCGCGGCCCGTCACCTCCATCTTGCGGTGGCACTCGACCTGCAGGTTCTCCAGCTGCCGGCACCGCTTCACCACCGACTTCACCTCCGACTTGATCTTGCTGATGTAGAGCCGGGCCACGGTGAACTCCTCCTCGATGGCGCCGCTCACCTCCACCGGCTGCGCGCGGCACACGCGTGAGCGCCGCGTGGACACGGCACGCCAGGGGCATGTCACACATGCAGGTTGCATGGCACCAGCCATGCTCTTTGCACGGATGCACCGTGGCATGGGCATGTCACACATGCAGGTTGTGCGGGCACAGCATGGCATGGACACACCATAACGTGGACATGTCACACACGTGCAGGTAGCATGGGCACTGCAGTGCTCATTGCATGGACACACCACAACATGGACATGTCACACGTGTGCAGGTTGTGTGGGCACAGCCCTGCTCGTTGCATGGACACGTCACACGTGCAGCTTGCATGGCATAGCCATGCTCATTGCATGGACATGTTGCACATGTATGTTGCATGGCACAGCCCTGCTCGTTGCATGGACATGTCATTGCATGGACATGTCACACGTGTGCAGGTTGTGTGGGCACAGCCATGCTCGTTGCATGGACACGTCACACGTGCAGGTTGCACGGCACAGCCCTGCTCGTTGCATGGACACATCACATGTGCAGCTTGCATGGCATAGCCATGCTCATTGCATGGACATGTTGCACATGTATGTTGCATGGCACAGCCCTGCTCGTTGCATGGACATTTCACACGTGTGCAGGTTGCACGGCACAGCCCTGCTCGTTGCATGGACACGTCATTGCATGGACACGTCACACGTGCAGGTTGCATGGCACAGCCCTGCTCGTTGCATGGACACGTCATTGCATGGACATGTCACACGTGCAGGTTGCACGGCACAGCCCTGCTCGTTGCACGACGCTGTGCCCGGTGCCCGGTGCCCGGTGCCCGCCGCGTCCTGCCGGGGCCGCCACTGACCAGCTTGATCTCGCCGTTGCCCACGATGACGCTGAACTCGCTGAGGTCCTTCATGAGGCCGTTGAGCACCTCGGCGGCGCGCTTGCGCTGCTGCCCGCTCACGTCCCGCACGCGCTGCAGCTCCGTCTCCAGCGACAGCGTCGTGGCCTGCGCCCAGCGCTCGGCACCCAGCCCCCCGGCCCGCGGCGCCCCCAGCCCCCCCAGGGCACCCACGGGCAGCCCGGGGACCCCCACGGCCCCTCCGGCACCAGCTAGGGGTGCTCTGGGACCCCCTGGGTGCTGTTTCGGGGTTCAGCAGGGCCTGGCTCCAGCACCTCCCAATCCGGGTCCCCCATCGGAATCCAGAGGGTCCGGGCTGGGGCTGATGAGGGTGGGGGAGGCGCCTCTGGGTGCCAGGTCCCGGTTCAGGGGCTGGGGGCTCCCAGGGTGGGGGGGGCCTGGCCTGGCTGCCCCAGCTGCTGTCTGGGGTCTGGGCTCCTGCTCTGGGGTCTGGGGGCTCCTGCTTTGGGTCTGGGGTCCTGCTTTGGGTCTGGGGTCCTGCTTTGGGTCCTGTTGGATGACCCCCACCCAGGGGATCCCAGTGGGGCCCAGCTGGGTTCCCGGTTCAGGGCCCAACTGAGCTTCCTGTTAGGATCCCGTTGGTGCCATATGGGATCCCTCGGGCTTCTCCTGGGGGTCCCGCTGCAAGGCGGGGGGGTCCCCATTAGGGTCCCATTGGTGCCAGACTGGATCCCATGGGTTTATCTTTGGGGGTCCCGCTGCAGTGGGGTCCCCATTAGGACCCGGTGGTGCCAGATGGGGTCCCACGGGTTTCTCATGGGGGTCCCGCTGGGGAGGGGTCCCCATTAGGGTCCCGGTGGTGCCAGACGGGGTGCCAGGGCTCCCCGGGGGTCCCGCTGAGGAGGGGTCCCCATTAGGGTCCCGTCGGTGCCAGACAGGGTGCCAGGGCTCCCCGGGGGTCCCGCTGAGGAGGGGTCCCCATCAGGGTCCCGTCGGTGCCAGACGGGGTGCCAGGGCTCCCCGGGGGTCCCGCTGAGGAGGGGTCCCCATCAGGGTCCCGTTGGTGCCAGACAGGGTGCCAGGGCTCCCCGGGGGTCCCATTGGGGAGGGGTCCCCTTTAGGGTCCCATCGGTGCCAGACGGGGTGCCAGGGCTCCCCGGGGGTCCCGCTGGGGAGGGGTCCCCATCAGGGTCCCGTCGGTGCCAGACGGGGTGCCAGGGCTCCCCGGGGGTCCCGCTGGGGAGGGGTCCCCATTAGGGTCCCGGTGGTGCCAGATGGGGTCCCAGGGGCTCCCTGGGGGTCCCACTGGGGAGGGGTCCCCATTAGGGTCCCATTGGTGCCAGACAGGGTGCCAGGGCTCCCCGGGGGTCCCGCTGNGGAGGGGTCCCCATCAGGGTCCCGTCGGTGCCAGACGGGGTGCCAGGGGTTCCCTGGGGGTCCCGCTGGGGAGGGGTCCCCATCAGGGTCCCGTTGGTGCCAGACAGGGTGCCAGGGGTTCCCTGGGGGTCCCGCTGGGGAGGGGTCCCCATTAGGGTCCCGTCGGTGCCAGACAGGGTGCCAGGGGTTCCCTGGGGGTCCCACTGGGGAGGGGTCCCCATCAGGGTCCCGTCGGTGCCAGACGGGGTGCCAGGGGTTCCCTGGGGGTCCCTCCGCGGCGCAGGGGGGGGTCCCACCTCGGTGCGCGCCAGCTCGTCGGCCAGGCGGCGGTTGTGGCGCCCGCTGTCCTCGGCCTCCTGCGCCTTGCGGTCGTAGCTGCGCGCCAGCTCCTCGAGCGCGGCCAGCACCTCGGCCACCTCGGCGCGCGCCGCGCCGTGCTCGGCTCGCAGCGCCGCCAGCTCCC